AAATTTTACTCAAATTAGTATCAATATATTTACTGAAGCGTTGATACAATTTTTTTTTTTACTTCACACGGCCAGTCATTTTGTTTACAAAGAAATGGTGTGCTATGCGCATGCGCTAGTAGAGGGAAATCCCTGAACAAAACGTTGGTCAGACAGGTAGAAATACCGATGATTATCTTAGATTTAATCATTTTTATGAATCTATTTCAGCCAAATCCGATCGGCATTTTCCATAAGGAGTCTCACTTGATATGTTTATGTAGTATTTGGAAAAAAGACAACAAAAAAAAGTTACTTCAGCGTGATGCCCCTTTAAATAGGCTATGCCTGCTGCCCAACCCATTTGTCCTTTGACAATAAAATTTATTGAAATTGAAATTGAACTATAATATACGTAACTATAAAAAGGTAACATCACCCGCACCATCACCCTCATCCTCGTCCTCTTCCTCATCCTCACCATCACACATGAGACATTAGAACTGCTGCCGTCCGCCGCTCGATATATCCATCCCCTGACCCCTGACCATAGCTCCTTTGCTGGTTCTGTGACTGATGGCCTCCACCGCCTTCAAGACAACCAAGAAGACTGATTGTCTCAATAAATGACGAAGAAACTATGCTTGAATTTTTTCAAGAAATTGAAGTCCTGTGGAATGTAAAAATCAGCTTCTATTGGAGGTTGGATAAAGACAATAAGATATTGTAGGACTAGGCTGCACGCATGGGCAGAACCAGATGCCTACACTCGCCTGGACAAGACGAAGAGTGGGGATGGAGCTGCTCCAGCGATTACAGAGAGGGAGACTTGGATCAGAGCCAACCCTCTCCGTTGATCTCTTCTCCTCCTTCTCCTATTGGCACGGAATAGGTAAAGTACCAAGTCGACGAGGTTCTACTGATGTCAGAAGACGTTTATTCGGTTTTCTTGTCGCAGCCTCTCAAGATCCTCAATGATCTCTAAGAGTGAGTTGAACAGTGGCAATGCGCTACTCACCGAAACCCTATATAAACAGAGACAGCAACACCCGGATAAACGACAATAATACTCTACATGTACGCTCAGGACACGATCAATAATTTACTCATCAGTAGGTTATACGTCCATATGCGTTGCAGATACGTTAGATATAGGTTAGAAGTAAGTTAGACGTACGGTACCTGTACGGTAGATATTCAGCGGTCGAATCTCAAACGTATCTCAACTTATGAGTAACATACCTATAACCTATGTCAGCGTATGTCTAACGTATATCTAACGTATGTATAACGTATGAGTAACGTATGAAGCGAATGCAAAAGTTTTTATGTAACGTATAAGAGCGTATCACAGTGTGTGACCAACATGTGCCTAGTGTATAGACTTTATATCAAATGTATGAAAGGTATGTGCGACGTGCCCTGTGAGGACCAGGCTTCGCGCATGGATAAGACCAATGCTCATCTCCATGGCTGGTTCAAGTCCTTGTGAGATATGTACACTCGCATGGACAAGAAGAAGATGCTATACTCCTGAGATGACACTGAGGCACGTCCTTAAATAACTTAACCTGTTATAACGAGGGAGACTTGGATCAGAGCCAAGTTCGGCTTCTTCAAGACAGACACCCGCCACCATCATGAGCCTGCAGTATCGCTACAAATGTTTACTTTTTGCGGACGCTGAGTGACTGGGTGTTGCGAGTGACCCTCCTACCGAACTTCGTCGTTGTAAATTAAAGTTTATATTCAACATATTTTTTATATCACCAGGAGACAAATACACCAATATGCATCCAGCACATATAAAAATCCATGCACGCATGCATAAAGGCACATTCTTAAATAACCTAAGACGTCCAAGAAATATGTTGAACAGCTGGACAACAGTCCTGCCTGAAGAGAAGGTCAGAAATAGAGAAAAGAATACACTGATTGTTGTAAGAGGCAATTAATATGGGACATCCCTAAAGAATCGAGATTTGCATGTCTGGTATGCATTCCGACTGGGACCTACCAAACAACTTAAGGTTAGTGGCTGTGATTCCTGCTATACGTTCAGCATTTATGACGTTAAACTAAACTAAATCTAACTTTGCAAATCCAAGGGTCAGTTGAAGACGTATGGCTCAGGAGACACCAACGAAAGAGGAATGAAAGCGTCGAGAGGCTTCAATTGGGGCAACATACCAATATTGGTTTTACTGTCTCCTTAGCAGCAGATGCATGGTCCATAGTTGCCACCTCTTGCTACATGCAGTGGAAAACAGCAGTTTTTTTTATTCTTTCCATGGGGACTCCCCCAACATCATTTACATTTCTTTTATTGACATTATTTCAGCTGATTGCGGTGCTAGCATCGGGCATATTCAAGAATATTCCTTGTCTAACTGGACTTTTTCTGTCGGCAGTATTCAGTGCATCTTTAAGGCAAGTATTCGTAAGGAATTAGAAAGCCTTTCAAACCTACGATTTTTCACATTACAGTTTGATCAACACAATTCATTATTTTGCAATTGCAGTAGATGTGAAATACCTGAACAAATATACCATTAAATATTTATTGGAATGATATTACTATTATCAAAATGATTTTAGTTTAAAACAGTGTTTTTTTATTGCCAAATTGTTCTCAAGGCTTCAGCTAAAATTTGCGCAGTAACTCGATGTATTAAATATGTTGCTTTTTGCAGCAGGATTTTTGTCAAGAAATAAATTAAATTATATACTTAATGAATTTGTGTTATGAAATAACACCTTGTAGGAATTTTGTCGATGTAAAGCATACCTAAATATACCACTGGGTAAGAACTTATGATTTAGTTTGGTTTGGTTTTAAACGGGTGTCTATACACAACCCGAAAAGAAAGAGTAGATAATTGGAAGTAGGAAAGGTATAAGTCCTAAATATTGCATTGAAAACAGCAAGTCAATTGGATTTCTTCCATGTCCACCTACGCAAAATACACTAAAGAAAATGTATGCCCCCCCCAATATTAGTCACCACTAACGACAACGTTCAGAGGGATGGACCGTAATGTTAGTTCAAATTGCAGAATTGGAAACTTTATTTAAAGTCTTTTGCTTTGATGATTTCAACACAGGGACAAACACGAACATATCGCAGCTTCCCAAAACACACGCATACACTACATGCATGCATCTTGCACACAGGGAAGGCCGTCCTTAAATGACCATAGCTGATGATAGGTTGTCAAACAATACTAAACCAAACCAATCTATACAGGGAGTTACATTTCTTCTCACGTCTCTACTATTGTTATATGACCCTGACTGTTGGGAGATCGTTACAATGTAAACCCCCAATACAAACAAAAAACAACAAATCCTGATCTAGGTTGTCGCGAGGAGATATAACCCTGAAATAAACCTAGTAAAATATGCATATGCATAATCTTGATCTTGATAATGAATCAAAATGTCATAATTCTTTCATTTCAGCACAATGTCATCTGTGCTAGGCAGTGCGTCGTCAATATTTCTGGAAGATATTATTAAACCCCACACAAAACCCATGTCACAGAGACGGGAAATACTTATAGCACAAATATCAGGTAATTCAAGTTACCTTGTCCCGGCTAACATTTTTTACTGTGAAATCGATGCAAAATAAGATCATTTAAACAATTACACGACAGTCGAAGGAGTTGACGTTATGGGTTCACTAAAAAAATGAAAATGTATTTCGTCCTATATGTGTATATAAGCATATCTATATTGATTATCGGAGAACATCATCTTAACAAGAAAAAAGTAACAACAACTGTTTGCAAACAGAAAGGTCATCTTTATTTTATTCGTTGTTATAAGATGCATTATCTGACTCCAATATTTGAGAATAAATTTAGTATAATATTCTTCTTCTAGTGTTAGGCTTCGGAACAGTTGCGGTTGTCATTGCCTTGTGCGTTAGCGGCATGCATGGTCCTGTCACACAGGTGAATATGTAGTACTGCTTTTGTTATCATACCTCAGTCTAGTATTTACCTGAATCGGTCTATTTTTGTACTCGCGATTTTGTATAGGCACATATTAAATGAGAAAATATCAAACGTATGAGTTAATTCCCGTCGTATAGAACTTTTACAACAAAATGACACTTTTTACAACATTACATTAGGTTACAAGGTAAATGATCAATACGTTTTAGCATTCTGGTTTTAGATATTGACTACCAGCAGTTCCTGCTTGATCGGAGCTGTGACTGGTATAATCCTTCTTGGATGGTACGTCCCATCTGCAAACACATTGGTACGTATAGTTATTTTCATAATTCTAATCAATTTTCATAATTGTTATTTTCGCGCATCTGGACATGGTTAAGTGATAAAATCAAACATATTCGAATAATTCTGATATTTGATCAAACGTAGACGCTAAGTAAAGAGCAAAAAATTCCAAATTTTACGAATAAATATGCTACGTGCATTAAATGTATTCTGCAGGGTGCGGTAGTTGGCGGATCTGTAAGCGTTCTCTTCGTCGGATGGATATCATTCGGAAAGATGATGTCTGATGATGTGAGCTCGAGTCAGTTGCTGGAACCTGCCTCCACCGAACGATGTACATTCATGAACGTATCGTCGAACAGTGTTTCGAACATCACTTTGAATGGTGTTATTTCAATTTCCTCTCGCAAAAATAATGTCACGCTACCATTTGCTGGAGATTCACAAGAAAAGTAAGTTTTGCAGTTAAAGACATTTTCTTATCAATCAGTGGTTTATTAACGAGATACTAAGTAGTTTGGTTTGGTTTGTAAAGATTATAAAACATTCAAACAAATCGGCTAAAAAGGTCTATCTACGATGGTGGAGCTTCTCGGGGCAACTTTCAAGCGCCAACAAACTGGAAAATCTTCGTCTTGATACGGTTACGCGAAAACGTCTCTGAGGACAACCATTTTTCAAATGTAATCAAATTCCATGGCTCTTGACCTGTCAGTTTGTTTAAATGGGTTTAAACATTATTGCAACAGCAAAGGTCACATAAATACGTGAGCCTAGTGAGACACACATATGAACTTTCCGTCTATAAACAGTATTTAATTCTAGTCAGCATATGTGTTTCTGAAGAATATTGTGAAATCTTACCACATTTGACACTTTTTGGTCTCATTCTTAAGGCCGGGGGTTAGATCTGTTGGTGCTCTCTACCATCAAACTGTAATCATATAAGAATGTTTCATTAGGTATTAATTATGTCCAACAGAAAATAAAATAAAAATGCCAAAACTGTTAATTCTCTGCATAAATTGTGTTAAAGGTAAAACATTATCCAGGGGGAATACGTCAAAGGGGTAATGGATTTAAATGCACATTAGGACTTAACCATCCATGAAGAGCATTTCAATATAGCATATGTGGTATGCCTTAAACATTTCTTCAGGTTGGTAGGTATGATTAGTAGAAGGGTTATGTAAGAAAAACAGTGAGTGTTTATGTGTGAATTGTCGGAGACTAGTACGATACGTACCTGTCACTTTCATCAGACAAATGACAAGTGAAGCGTATGTACACAAAGGAGTAAAATATGAATAAGTTGGCAATTTATTTATAAATTGATTCGGGTACGATATAAGCGTATGTACACTTACTTGTTACACATGTACGAAACGAAAAATCATATCGACATTTAGATTTGTCTGCCCTCGTTCAGTATAAGGTTATAGATGTGCGATAGTCTATGAGCCCCCTTATCTCGATTCAAAACTAACCCTCTTGCGGCGTATCCAGATGGTTTCCTTTATCTGCCGCTTAAACAGGTTGTTCTCACTCTGTCAAATACTTAAGAGTTAACCAAATCAATAACATGATTTTGCTGCAGGGCATGGTCTGCGATTGCCAATTTATTTATCTGTGACTCCGACTATTTCCTTTCAGATCAGGTGACCTTTTTTCCCCTTGGGTTTCCGTATCTTCTCGTTGTTCACAAAGTCCGACCCTAATTCGTCCACCAGTTTCTCCGATAAAGGATGCGTCACAATTCTTGCGTCCGATTTCGTACACACATTCTTTGGGTTTTTTTGTTGAGTAGAAATCCAAAATATGTATTGCTTACTGACGGGCAACCACATACGACTTAACGCGATCCCAATAGGTCACACGAGATATCGCCCCCTAAGGTTCAGGGAAAGAATAGGCCTGCCGTATCTCAATACATGTCATAAAAGGTGACTAACGTAGGGCCCCCTACAGAATCGGGCCGGGGAGGGGGTCTTGAAGAAACCACACAAAATATACAGATCCACATTGCAACATTGGGGATCTGTATATTTTCTCTCTTCTTCCTGAAAACCTTTCTGTTTCCTACTGCCGATACGCCACTTTTTGCCTAAATGTTGAGCGTTCGCCAAAGTGGAAAAGGCAATGGGTTCTGTCCATATGCCGGGACATACCAAAGTCCTTAAAAACGGTTGCTTTTATTCCCTGCTGACATGTAACGTTCAGCATTTATACTGACGGTTTTGCAATCTGCCTAACATTAAACATACAGACCAAATAAACCCGTTTTGTTTTCTTGTGTTGTAAGGACAAGCGCCAGTCTGAGTTCATTAAGGGCCAACAGACACTGTAAAGATAGATGTTTGAAAGAGGAAACCATCAAACCTAAAGAAAACTGTCATGTTGGTATATTATGAAATGTGTCTGTGGTTGTTTAAAGTTGGTAAATTCAATCATTAAAATGATATACGATAAAATATTTATCGCAATAATGACATTATGTATCAATTTATACAACACAATAAATACCAAAAGTAGCTTGGTAACATTAATGTAAGCAAGTTAGCAATTTAACATGCAACAAAATTTATTAAGATATTTTATGAATATCGAAAAGTGTACAACTACTATTTACAGACATGGTGTGGACTTGCTGTACTCTTTGTCGTATCAATGGCTGGGAATGGTTGGGATTGTCTTGGTGCTTAGCATCGGCGCCCTTGCCAGCAGGGTACAAGGTAAATATGTTTCCAGCAGTATGAAATAAGCATCAGTTTTAACAAGAGCATTTAATTCTTTTTAATGCTTCTTTTACTGCTTCCATGATTTAACGACGATTTGCATTTACCACAATTAATAACAAATCGTGCATGCATCATCAAAGTAAACAGTGATATCAACCTCCATAACATAAGCATAATGGATAGGAGGGTCGTTATTAGCATGTTCAACGTAAATGCTATGGCTGTCTGGTGGCAACTTTAATTTTACAATGAATTATGCTCAAAACTGAGTAGGAAAAAAGGGATAACATACTTTTTTTTGTGATAGTTTTACATTAGGACAGTAATAGGGTTGCATGGGTTGTGAAATGGCTGTTGCCCAAGGGTGTTTATGTGTGCGCGGGCAGGGGTGAAAATGATCGTGACTTAAACCTGAATTGGTGTTTAACACTAAGGTTGATATCGATAACCTATTGCATCTGCTAACTAATTAGTATGGTGTTCGGTCTTGTTTACGACGCAAACATTTTGTTTTTCAATTTAAACATATTTAAACAATACCGATTAGACTATTAGGTTATGTGAAGTAGGAAAAGCTGCACGTTCATACGTGCGTGTAAACAGCGCCCTAAAAGTTGATGCGACGTGTCGATCTCCAGCGCTGACAAATTTTGATGACATAATGCACATATTTATAAGGGATGTCCCTTGTACGCGTACACGTGCGGTTAGCCCACCTCTATTTTCTTCTCCGCGGCATTTGTTGCATCATAAAACATGTGCAGTTGTTGAATATTTTCATTGAACAATATTATTTTGTGATTTAAAGGTAGACAATTTTAAACCTTTTTCTGCTTAAACCTATTTTGTTATACATAATATAAGTAATAGTTAAGGCGCTTTGTGCTTCCCCTTCATTCATACCTAACCTCCTGTACAGGCTCTGTTCCAGCTGATGAGAATTTGACAGTATCCTTAGCTGGTTCTCTCTGCCGATGCAGCAACAGTCCGATGATAGTTTCACATCAGCTTGTAAACAAAGATCCATTTGTTGTAGGTATTACAATATTTAAGATTCAAACGCTTAATTGTATCGGATGGTATCTACTTGATCAATAATCGGTTAGGCTAAAATCACGTTTGAACATTTCAATTGCATCTTTCTAATAGGTTAATATATTTCCTGGTCTCTCATATATTTTAACATTGTTTACCTATGCACTTCTGGTTTTGCCCATGGTCTGAATTAAATGGCCAGGAGGTGTGTCCTACTACCATCAATTGAACAAAATGAACAGAAACGTTAAACTGATCATCTGCTCACGTTTCTTGTGTTAATATTTATCGATTTTGATTTCTTCTTTACTACCAGTAAGGTTTTGTTTTGGTTATGGTTATGCAGTGCGATTATTCCTTTCTCGAACCAGCACAGGTCACGTACGTATTCACTGAATATTGCAGTTGTCGGTGGTGATGATATAAAACGCAGCGTTGCATATTGAGACATGGTGTTTGCATTGTATATATTTCCCCAGGACATCAGACGGGATGACGACGATCTTGTTACTAAGGACGAAGACGCACCACTGGTTATGAATATGAAGCCCGTAGGCGACACGGGCCAAGTGCCTTTGTAATATGATAGAACATTTATGTTTGTACAATAATGTAGTAATTGAAAGAGTTCGTTTTGTATGTTTTATCAATGTAAGTTGATCTGCCATATCTTGATAATACCTCGTTACAAAGTAACATGTAAAAATGTCCGTCACTTGTAGTTCAAAACTTGTACAACATTCACAATTATGGAAGTCATTTGAAACATTAATCAATCTCTAATCAGTGGTTCTGCATATTAAAATTGACTTTGTCATGTAAGACCTGACTCCTGAGCAATTTTGTACAAAGAGAGAAAATCCAAAAGTAAGAAAATATATCACACCTGGTATGTCTTTCATTGCCCTGTTTCTGATCTTTGTCTTGTATGCCATCACCCCTGTAACCCTTGCGTGTTCCATACTGTCACATATTCTCGATTGAGAGGCTCCACACAAATACCCAAGTCGTCTTTCTGGACTTCTCGCGGAGTTCTCTCCCCCGATTACAAAATTAATAAAAGTACTCAAACATCATTATATTCTGTAGTCCCTCTGGAGTGTCAACATGCAAAATGCAACGGATTCATACAGTTTATCAATATCTTCATGAACGATAACTTTCTTGGATTAAGTCTCACCCAGACTGGATTTTTGAGCTGCACCAAACATTTCACCGGAAGTGTTGTATGTATCGTCATTGATGATATCTTCATTTTTAGATTGAAAAAGCGTATCTAATGATCAGTATTGATTTCCTAATATATTTAGCCCCATCCACTTTTTTATGCAATTTGCGAAGAAACACGTTCACTTCCTCTGTGCTTGCTTAGCCCAAATCGTCGATACTTCCGGCATTCCATTCTGTTAAATAACTTAATTTCACTTAGTCTTAACAACAGCTATTGTATTTAATCCAAAACGTGCTGTAATACCTCACTAGTAAGATAATTAAAACGACATCGGCGGCCATTTCCATTGTTGTTGTTTGGTTCTAAAATGTTTGCAAAATTTTATAAACTCCGCCTACAGATATTCTCGAGGGATTAGTCCTCGTTCTTGCAGGGAGTAGTCCTTATTTTGGGAGGGAGATGCTTGAGCGGTTATAGGGAAATAATATATTTTATCGTACTGTTTTTATATAGGGAAAACTCAGTACAGGTATAATAATAGATATTACACTTAAAAGTTGGTCAAATTTATCTGAAATAATTTAATCTGGTATATATTTCGATGATGTTCAGTAGCGGTTCACTACTGTGTTAAAACGCCGGAAAGAAAGAGTAGATAAATGAGAATAGGAACGATACAGACTCTCATGGGTCAGGAGATCAATAGTGATTTGTTCAATGTCCCCTAAGCTGGAATGCAGAAGACTATACCCTATAGTGCCTAACAAATACATTACAGACATGAATGTATGGCCCTTAATGGCCTTAGCTGTTAATAGGATGCCAAAATTGGCATCCAAACTATCTAGCTTGTTTTGTTTCCACCATCTCCATCCTCAATTTCTTGAAAAAGATAAACAGAGTTAAAAACAAATTTAAAATATATTAATAAAGGACAGCAACCTTGTATTGGTAGTGAATTAACAAGACTGTTATTTGTTTTATTACAATGGCAGTACACTCGACTACTGAAAACACCAAGATAACATTCGAGTCAGTCGTATAGTTTGTGAGAGTTACCTCCACTTATACTTTAAAGAAGACCATTTTTTAAGTGATAATTCAAATTTAAACCTTTCATGAGCGTTCGACAAATCGAGGGAGGTTCTGGTTTCTGTCCCCTGACCGAGACAACCTTAATCCTTAAAACAGGTACCTACTGAAAACTGTTTGACGTCCAGCTATTAATGGGTGGCGGTAGTCGGTGTCAAAATATTGGTACGTGATGGCATTTTTTGCGTTGCCATGCCTAGTCGCTGCATTTCTTGAAAGGTGTACATAAAAGAGGCTCCAAATAGCATCATCAACATGAACACGGTCCTTGTATGACCCTAAAAAACTGTAAGAATCGAAAACGTAATCAAACCCATTACAATTTCACAATGGATAAACCTTACATCAGAAATGCTCCTGAGGTACCTAGTTTCGTTTTACGCCATATCAACACTACCTTTTTCTGTAAAGTACGTTACCAATGATTTGATAGTTAAAGCAGGATCAATACTCCATGGCCGATTGTTTTTCAAATTGTACATTTATAAGATTCATTTCAAGTTGTATTGTAGACTACGCAGCCCGCCTTCTATATATAGCCGTATAGCTGAATTACGTTTCGGAAGTCAAAACACCTCCGGTATTATCAGCTTCTTTTGAAAAACAGAAACATATTCTAGAGAAATCATGACAATCTTTCTTTTTTTCAACTTTTTGTGTGTTTTTTTTAAGCGAAGATCAAGAAAAAATCATATTCAGCAAATTCCAGAAATCGTAAACGAAAGGTAAACCTGATACTGACAGGAGCTGTTATATTGCATGCTATGCTTCCACGAAATTCAGCCAGTCAATTTCCGTAAGCATACTGTACCTTTCGCTGGCTAGGGTAATTAGCTTTGTGGAAGGGTCAGCCAGCCACGACTCTGGGTCCGAAAGGGGACACAATGGTGCATTATCCGCAACCATGAAACGGAAGACCCCCACAAGGCTGCTAACAAAGTGTGTCTCAGTGATTCTAATCCCATTCATCTTCTTCCTCCTGTTTGTGTTCATTCAAATTTGTCCTAACCATAATTTGTTTAGTGAGGTGTAAATAAACAACCTGAATCGTCATCAGATGCAAAAAAATACAACAAGTATTGTCGGCTTGAAATCTAAAATCAATTAGCTTGATAATCCGTCAAATATTTCATTTCATTTATTTTAATCGTAGTACATTGCAAGGTATTTTGACGTTTTAACGAAACGTAATGAAGATTTTCATATTTTATTAACACTGATTGTTTTATCTGTCATTACGTAGCGGATTGTCAGGAGAATAAGAAGATAGGCAGAGATCACGTAGATGACTTGCCACAGGGAAATCTAATATATTGCTCAATACAATACCTAAACAAGAAGCCGTTGGACCATCGAACGATTTGGGTCGGTAAATAAAGTGATCTTATTATCTTAGAGAAAAGGGATGAACCAGAATGCGATCTGTTCATGTAAATAATGTAATGAAATTGACATTTCAGGAAAATTTCACTCCAATCCATATACCTCGTGCAACAAAACAAAGATTTCTTAAGAACTCTATTAGTTATTTACGTAGATTCCTAGTGATCTATTTTTGGACGACTACAATTCACAATCTAAATTGCAAACAAAAGCGTTTATTTCAATAGAATAGTTGAATGACGTCAAATGATATAAATTGTTTTTGTATTGATTTACGCCCAATCTTCATCGCTTCCGATCTTTTTTGTCCATGTACTTTCTGTTTCAGGCGGTGTCTCCCCCTGGCACCCGTCCAAATATGACCCTGGTTGTTGTCTCCCTAGGCACCCGTCAAAATAGGACCCTGGTCGTTGTCTCCCTAGGCACCCATCCAAATAGGACCCTGATTGTTGTGTCTCCCTAGGCACCCGTCCAAATAGGACCCTGGTTGTTGTGTCTCCCTAGGCACCCGTCCAAATAAGACCCTGGTTGGTGTCTCCCTAGGCACCCGTCAAAATAGGACCCTGGTTGTTGTGTCTTCCTAGGCACCCATCTGAATAGGACCATGGTTGTTGTGTCTCTCTAGGCAACCGTCAAAATAGGACCCTGGTTGTTGTGTCTCACTAGGCGCCCGTCCAAATAGGACCCTGGTTGTTGTGTCTTCCTAGGCACCCGTCCAAATAGGACCCTGATTGTTGTGTCTCCCTAGGCACCCGTCCAAATAGGACCCTGGTTGTTGTGTCTTCCTAGGCACCCATTCAAATAGGACCCTGGTTGTTGTGTCTTCCTAGGAACCCGTCCAAATAGGACCCTGGTTGTAGTATCTCACTAGGCACCCGTCCAAAAAGGACCCTGGTTATTGTCTCCCTAGGCACTCGTCCAAATATGACCCTGGTTAATGTCTCCCTAGGCACCCGTCCAAAAGGACCCTGGTTATTGTCTCCCTAGGCACCCGTCCAAAAAGGACCCTGGTTGTTGTGTCTCTCTAGGCACCCGTCCGATTGGGACCCTGGTTGTTGTGTCTCCCTAGGCACCCGTCCAAATAGGACCCTGGTTGTTGTGTCTCCCTAGGCACACGTCAAAATAGGACCCTGGTTGTTACGAAGACATTAAACCCAAAACAAACAAAACAAAATCAGAAATAGAAGTAAAAATAGACATTCACATCAATGACTTCATCATACTAGAAATATAAAAGGACAAAAAGTGTGAAAGATGTGAAACTATATCAATTGCAAACAAAATGGGTGCATATTTTATCAAAAAGATCAATTGAGTATAAATAATAGTAGGTTGAAAACAATATATACTGTAAACAATACACTTTTTATAAACGGTACATTAAAAAACCTCCTACGCATTTTTAGGTCACCTGAGCCTATTCCGATCACTTTCCGTCCGTCGGGCACACTAAAACAACGAAACAATCAACCACTTAACCTATACATGTAACAGACTAAGTATATTATACATTATAGGTTCCAAACAGTTGTACTACATATAACAGGAACCAGATAGTTATGTAACACATCTAGAAACCAGATATCCATATTACATGCTTCAGGGACCAGACAGATTGTACACAACATAATTCATATAATTTTAGTACAAACTGCATCAGCGAGACAGTTGAAATATCACTACAGGATCGATACAATTGTATTACATTATTCTTGACCAAAACAGTTGTATAACATTCCACATGAACTAGTCAGTTGTATTGCAATCTTCATGAATCAATCTCCATAACCCTAACCCTTACTAGACAGTTAAACAGTTGTCATGAAATTGACAGTTGTTTTACATTCTTTAAAACAAATCTCCATCACCCTTACCCTAACCCTAAACAGTCAGTTGTATATTCTTCATGAACCAGACAGTTGATTTACATTCTTCATGAACCATTCTCCATAATGCTTAACCTAACCAGACAGTTGTACATTCATCATGAACTTGGCAGCTGTTATGTATTGTTCGTGAACTAGCTTCTAATATTAAATAGCATTACAAACATGTTAATAGCAGTTTTTATTCGTTTTGCAACATTATCAACCTAGCATTCTGTATGCTTAACATTGTTTAATCGCAGAATAATATGTCTTTTTATGATATAATACGTAAAATGTCATTTGCTTACTATTCAGTAAAATTTCGTCATGCTGATGCTAGAATATTTGTCAAGCGACAAGGTGGCATAAATCATTTATCAAATTGATGAAGATTTTCATATTTTTATGAGGTTTTGTAGTTTTAACTATATTTTAAATTCGTAATATACCTCCACATGGCATTAATCTAATGGCACACGCGCGTAATTTAGCAATCTGCAATATTTCTTAAACATCAACCTTATGTCCGCTATTAAACAATATCAAAAAGATCTTAGCATGAGTATATTTTAATGACTTGTTTGATTTTACGGATCATTATTTAGAACTAAGCAACAGGTAACAGCTGAAAGATTAAACAAACTTTAAACGATTTCTTTCCCAAATCTTCTAAGGACCATACGATGTATATAGCCGTGCAATGAGCGAGCAGTCATCGCTTTATATTAGTACCGAGCACAGTCAATGCGATGTAGATCCATCTTTGTTAGGAATCAATGCACCCAATCATCTCCAATACATCCGTTATTATCATACTACAACTGGGGTTGATTTCAGTATATTTTGATAGTTTTTAACATCATGATCGTTTGTTACCCCTGCATGTTTGGAAAGAATACGCCTGCTGTAGCTCATTGTACGTGAAAGGTGACGGATACAGGAGCGCAGCAGAACTGTGGGCTTTCTTTTGTCTTCTGATAAGGGGACA